ACTGAAGAATAAAACCAGATTTTCTGTATTCTTTCAGCTAATGAAAATAGATTTAAACCCCCTGGAAACTCTAGACTGTGTGTATATATGTATTTTAATAACATTTATGTAACAGCAGGGTGCATTAGCTGACAGCGAGTCGGTAACACCCTGCCTCTAAATCGGTGCCTGTGTCGGCAGGGCAGTTCTTTATCGTCAGCTGCTGTCAAATCCAGCTCCCAGCAACTGATAGGTCACAGTTGAGGATCCCAATAATGTGGCAGCTTTTTATATGTCAGTGCACCAGATGGGGTTATTTTCTCACAAAGGTTATTGTTTACTCACTATAAAAATAATTCAAAAATAAAATAAATCAAAACTGTGAGTCAGCCGCCTACAAACTCACTCAGAAGAGCCCCAAATTATAAGGTGGGTCAACAAGTAAACGTAAGAGTGACAAAACTTTTAACATGCATCAGGAGGAAGAAAATTCAGTGCAAAAAGCATAGATTAAGAATAGCAAAACCTGCTTTACTATGCATTAAAGCGGAGTCTTCAAGTCAGTCCAACCTATGAAAGGGTCATAAATTCGGTGATTTCAGAAAAAAACAATTTAAGACAGTTCCTATAAAAAGCAAACTACCAAGCTGATGTACTGCAAGTGCAATAAATTATTAATAAGCAAGGCAACTCTCAAGCTAGTAGCTATAAAACAAACCATCGCTATTTAAGAGTTGCAACACAAATGAGCACTGAACGTGGCATATTGACCAGCGCTGGGGAGATGGCAAGGTTTTGGCGAAGTATACCGGTACAAAATTCCCACTTATTTGTGAAAAAGTGTTGCAGACCCTCTAGCATTCACACAGAAAAGGCTGTACGTTTACCTTTAAACACCCAGACTGAAGATGCGACCTAGTAAACCAGAATTAAGTATGTTTACATATAGGACTGCATCATTCCTACCATTAGTTCATTACAAAACCTGCCAAAGTACTGAGATATTTTAGATAATCTGCCTGAACCACTGGCCAACTCCATCTGGCAGCGCGCTGCCTTGCCTCTTTCCGAGTATTCACTGGGAAAAAAACCCCATTCCTATTTACAATATTTTATCAAGAAAACAGTTAGTAAGAAACCGTGTACCAGGGCCTTTTTTGGAAACAAACTTTTTTGGAGTACTGCATCCAGCTCTGGAGTCCTCAATGTAAGAAAGACATGGACCTGTTGGAGTGTGTCCAGAGGAGAGCCACGAGGATGATCCGAGGGCTGGAGCACCTCTCCTGTGAGGAGAGGCTGAGAGAGTTGGGGGTGTTCAGCCTGGAGAAGAGAAGGCTCCGGGGAGATCTTATTGCGGCCTTCCAGTGCCTAAAGGGGCTACAGGGGAGCTGGGGAGGGACTTTTTACTGGGGCATGGAGTGACAGGACGAGGGGGAATGGCTTTAAACTGGAAAGAGGGCAGGTTTAGATTAAACATTAGGAAGAAGTTTTTCCCTGTGAGGGTGGTGAGGCACTGGAACAGGTTGCCCAGAGAGGTTGTTGCGGCCCCATCCCTGGAGGTGTTCAAGGCCAGGCGGGATGTGGCCTTGGGCAACCTGGGCTGGTGGGAGCTGTCCCTGCCCATGGCAGGGGGGTTGGAACTCGATGGTCTTCAAGGTGGTTTCCAAGCTAAACCATTCTATGATTCTGTGATTCTATGAAACAAAGGCCACCCCAAAACCCTCACAGTAGTAATACAGACATAAAGAGAAATTGCAATGTACTGAAGGGTGTCCCCCAAAGGAGCGTATTGCGTGGCCGTCACCACATGTGCCGCGTCCGCGCTGGGTCGCCTAAACTGGACCCGGGACAGCCGAGCTGCCCCGCAAAGGTGTTGCGAGATGCCGACCAGAGCGGCACATCTCCATTCAGCAGCACAAATGTTTTGCATGCAATCAAGGCTGCTACGAAAGAATCAGCAGG